TTTGACCCCAGTACTCTTTCCTGCCATGGCAGGGGGTCGGACTCGATCTGCTCAGGTCCCTTCCAACCCTAGAAATTATGATACTATAAAATTTACTAGTACTGAGGCTGATCGAGGTTGCCAGCCACCAGCCACTAGAAAGAAGCACTCTAATAATAGTCCCAAGATTTCATCCAGTGAAAGACAATCACAGAACAAACTAGATACATTATGGGGAATTTGTGCCTACTTCCAAAATGATCACATACTACCAGAAGCAGATGCTGGACTTTTCAGACTGGCATTTGATCTGCTGTGGAAAATCCTGCCAGAGATGACATTATAAATTGCAAAAACCAAACCTGCAACAATGCAGGGGCATTTTTCATGCAAGAGAGCTCTGTCTACTGCTTTTCTCAGACAAGAAAGCTCTCTTCAGAGGTTGTTTCTGATCCTGTCAGAACTGAAATATATGAAGGAAAATTTAGGGAAAGCTGAAACTAAAGATCAATTTTTAATAGGTTTTAAATATAATTTTAACATAAGTAAAGACTGGACAGAAACTGTTTCAAACTCACATCAGAGAACAATATAGATTTAGGTAATTTTAGCCCAAATTGTCTTTTTTTCCTAACAAGAAGAAAATACAACATCAATTTTGAAAGTGTCCTGCTTCTCTTCACATTTATTTAAGATGCAATTTACCCCTTCCTCCATTCCCAATGCCACAAGTTCAGACTGAGCATCATACTGCAAAGTATAATGCTTTCTCAGTGAGATGATGGGTCTCCTACAGTCAATTTGTTATTAGGGAAATAGAGAAACAGTGACAGGTGTGTCTAAAAGTCACCTTGAAAAAATATCTTCAATACAGAAATCTCAGATTTAGTAAAAGTTCTGTCTACTCATCTGAGTTTTCCCTAAACATGGTCCTATTTTTCTTTCAAATTAGTGAAAACATGGGTTTTAAACTGTCCTCTTTCGAACAAATGATGATGATATGTAATTCATGAAAACTGTTGGGTAGGATTTGCTTTTCCCACAGAGTTAAATATATCACTACATTTTTTTAAATTACATGCTTTTATATTGATATATGACTCATTCCAATTCCAAGACAGGAATTATGAAAGGAGGTGAGAACAATGATAATTACTGTGTACCTCCTCACAGCAGATGTACCCCATACAGGGCATAAGAAAAAGCTTTAATACTGAGAGTACCTGGGGAACTCTGTGCTAAGTGGAATACTGAAATTCATAGCCAGCTGGCTAATGTGCATGATAAAGCCACAGTAATGACAGGATGAAAAAAAAAGTAAAGCATTCAAAAAATAGGCTGATAAAGCTTTTTGGGGTGCAAAAACCTGTGCATGTCCCTGTATTTGAAAAGCATCAGGCAAAAATTGGGGCATTCCCACAATACAAATAATCAACAGCCTTGGAGCAGGTCGTCCCTAGCTCAACCTCAGAACAACAGTTAACATGTCTAAAAGCATGTCCATTTGTCTTTGCCATGTTACAGAAAAACAGAGGGTCCATGGCTAACTAGTCTCCACACTTGTCACAGTTAGAATGAGGAAATAACTGTTCCAGCCAAGTATTGGAGTGATGCTGTAGATACCACCCACAAAGACCCTTTCAGTAAAGTGAAAATTTTCACTGGTCAAAAAGAATAGCCCTCAACGTACATGAGCTTTGCTGTACGGGTTGGGGTCTCTGATAGCCGGCAGGTATCTGCGCCTCCCCAGAATGGTCTTCACAAAACCATCCCTGCTACAGTTGTTCACCGTCTCCCGCAGGAACTTCTGAATTCCTGTGAAAAGAAACAAAAGACAAGATGACCCACCAGTCCGTGCCGCCCTGTCTTGCTCTCATGCTCTGCACACTAGACAGCAGGTACTGCAGGACTACTCTGCCATCCATGTTTCCATCCAAGGCAGGGACACTAGTTTGAAATCACAAATATCAGAAGGCTAACAACGTGGAGAAGTTGCAGTCTTTACATTTCCCAGGCCTCCTGTGAGAGAAGAGAGTGAGGAATCACTTTCTCAGGTTTATTTTCAGCTCTGCTGAATGAGTTTGTCAGCTGGAAAAAGAAGGCTTGGTTGACTGGACAGATGTCATCCAAGAGGTAGGTAGGAAGCTAGTATTACACCAATACTGACTGTGGCCAGGGGAGGACCATTACACATTTATTATGTATATCAAGGGGTCAAGACCCAGAGCAGCACTGGAAAGAGGAATAAAATTGAAACAAAAGTGTTAGAGTCCATTTTAACATCCCAGACTGTCCTGCAAGGAAAAAAGGGAACGTGACAAAGGGTGGTAAAAACAGGCCAAGTCAAGAACTATACACATTGAGAGGATGTCCTTTCACATCAAGTTCTGATGTGAAATGGACCTCCAGTTTTTAGACTTCTGAAAGATTTTTAAGGGTTTGCAAAAACATGAAAATATATATATATTTTTAAAATCACCTTTTACAATAAAAAAAGAAAAGAGTTCAAGATCATGATAGCATTAGTCAGTAAACTTTATCTGTAATTTAGTATGCCAAATGTGTTATTGCAATGCTGTAGGAAGAAAAGTAGCAAGACACTATTCTCTTTGTATTATAGCCAGCTGGGGCCACATCCTAATGGATCTCCTGATGGGAGTCAATCCAGAAGCCATCAGAAGTGACCTTACGAACAGATTCAGTAAGGGAAGCACTATATCTTCACTTCATTATTTTTCAGCTCAGATCTAAGCTCTACTGCCAAAGCTAGCTATGAGTCATCCCACTCGACCTCTGCTCATTTCCTGATTGCAACTCTGCTGTTTAGGCAGTTTTTTGAAGGGAAAGTTAAGCTGTTCCTTAAAAGTATGATGTCTTAATACAAAGTGTGTGGGAGCAGTTAAATAAGAGTGGCAGGGCTACCAGCCCTTTTAAGATGCAATGAAAGACTGAGGGACAGCAGAAAAGATTATTCAACAATGGTTTTTTTTAAAAACAAGTCCTCCTGTGTAAAATCATTACGTATCTTTTACAGCTATATATCTGAATAAGAAACATAGTTATTTTTCTAAGTTGGGAGCTTAAAAATGAATTGCGCTGACTAACGAGTAGCTAAAATAACACAATTATTAAAGCAATGCAGCGTTTAACAATGGTTTGCAGAGAAACAAAGCAGTAACGTATAAACACAAGGAAAAGCAGAAACTCCATTAGTATACTTATGTATCGGACTTTGAAAAGATTCTCCCCTACCCAAAGCACTAAAGGAGTTAGGGATCAAACCAATCCCATATTAGGGGAAGAAAAGTGGTGCTGCAAACACTTGAGCCCTTACCTTTGTATCTAGATTTGAAGGAGTCAATGTAGCTAGCAGCATCATTTTCCTCAACACCCATCTGCTCTCCTAAAGATTTTGCTCCTATTCCATAGATGATTCCATAGCAGATCTACCAGAGGAAAGACAGCAGAATCACAATCACATAGTGAATGATTCAAGGACTTCAGGGCACTTACACATGTAATCCAGTGTGTCAGAGCAGACTTGATTAATCTGTAAGTAAACTGATGCGTGCTGGCAGCCTCACGCATCATGTGTATCAATGGCACAGCACACATCACTGCTGAGAAAATGATGGTGGTGGGCTTTTAAGTGCACTGACACCATTTTCTCAGTACTGATGTGCACTGTGCCACTGATACACGCATTCCCATGCAGCACCGGGCACTTTTAATTAGTGTGGCTCCCTAATCAAAAGTGCCTGGCACTGCGCCAGGAGCACATGTAAAAATGCCCTCAATCTGGAGCTTGCTGCTCAAAAGGTAATGTAACTTTGCCCTTGTGGAACTATGAAATTTATCACATACTTCAAGGACAACACTTTGAAGCTGAATCTGAGGAAAATGAGATTTATTGTACCAGACCAGGCTACTGGCCCACCCCTTCTAGGGTCTTGCATTTAAGTACCTTATGCATTTGGGGGTGGAAAAAAAACAAACAAGAAAAAAATCTTCCTTTCCTCATTCTCCCAGTAACTTCACAACAAGGGTGACTAAAGAAATCTTCCAGGCTCGCCAGCTATTTAACATAAGCTCATCAATAGAATCCCCAACCCCCAGCAAGATACTTAAAAAGTATTCTTCCTAGAGAGGGACACAGGGCACTTTACAGCACTGTTTACTTCCTGGATTAGGTAGACAACATACTGAGGTGCCAATTTTGTTATCTAGCAACCCAAAGCAACAGTTCTTGAGGAAACCAGCAGCCCTGGGATGATACCCTCTTTCCCTCCTCATTAAGTCGCTGCATCCTATAAAGATAAGAACTTTTCCCAAAGATCACCTGCTTTGCTTGCTGCCTGGTATCATCCCTAATAGCTTCAGGATCAATCATCTTCCATTCAGCCGCAATGCTCTTGAAGACATCAGCTCCACTGTTCAAGGCCTGAATGAGCCGACGGTCATCAGACAAATGAGCAAGGATCCTCAGTTCAAGTTGGGAATAATCAGCAGCCAAGATTAAACCACCTGGAGCCAGTCAACCAAGTTAATGCCAAACAATAACTTTTCATGTGTTACCATGCAGCAATTGTGACAGAGTCCCATACCTGAACCCCTACAAGACTTCATTCTCATCACTTTACCTTTGTCATCATTTTAACTCAAGTAAAAAGGGTACAAAAGGATGTAATGCATGACCAGACTGGAATTTCCCACTTATGCACACGGGGGGTAGATTACACAGGTGTCAATGGCTGCACAAAGTGAAAGGCAATGGAGAAACTTGGTTTTGCAGGCTTAGCAGACTACACTTCTCCTCTACTCTGAAAAGTTGCACACACGCTGACGAAAGGAGATGGGGTCTGGAGTATACAGACTGATATCCAAATAGATAGATTGAAGCCGGCAGGTAAAGATAGTAAAGATACTTCAATGAACACCACTTACAATGCTCTATCAAGTGTAACTTTAAAATTATCTACATTTTCTAAAAAGTATGAACCTAAAGCCCTGGAATGCTTTTCCTCATAATTCTATAGGCAAAATCCATAAGCTACTACACATTTGTTTTCCAGCTAGATGGCTCAAAAAGATGTGAGCATTAGCGTTTACTCTGCTCCCCACCAGAATGAGCTTTCTGTTAGGTCTGCTACATTCTTAATGTAGCAAAAAGCTGGGACAGTGCAGTATCAAGACATTACCTCGGAAGGGAACAAAAGCATGCCTCATGCTCACAGAAAATGGCATCCCTCTTCTCTTTGGTCCCTCTTCGGCCATAGAGTTTGAGCCCCGAGGCAAGATACCATAATGCTTTCTACTTCTGTGGAGACAAAAGGATAGATGTGCTTAAAATTTCCAGTGTCTATTGCTGCTACATCAACTGCATTTACATTATTTTAAAACTCTGATTCAGTGTTTGCAAATAACAAAAAAAACCAACACTACCCCCTCCCCCCCCCCCCAACCCAACCAAAACACAAACAATAAAGAGCTTAAAAAAGGAAATTTTAAAATC